CCTTTGAAATTCTTGGATCAGGACTACCAGGAGCTGCAGAAGAGCTGCATCACCAATAAGATGAGATTTGTTGATGACAAGTTCCCTCCAGACAGCAGCTCCATTGACACACAGAAGAAACTTAAAATGGATCTGGACCAAATCAAGTGGTTGAGACCATCAGTAAGTTACCTCTACTGACTTTCTATCTTCAGATGTTCAGTAACTTTAAAAAAAAGATCTCAAAGTAAACAGGCATTATTGCTTGAAAGAATTGAGAAAAAAAACTTGTTGAAAATAACATGCAATTAAGTGTTGCAAAATGTCTCTTAGGGCTTGTCAGAACAGGTTCACTATTGTGACAAGATATCTCAAGTGTCATGAAAGCAGACCCAAAGTACATTATATGAGACAACTTCGTCTTGTGGTATTCACAAATCTCTAGACCAAATATTAGTGCATAATTTATTCATTTTTTCTTTTTAGAATATAATATCAGACCCTCAGCTCATTGTACAGGGTGCTTCTAGGTTTGACTATTCCCAAGGATCTTATTTAGGTATGTTTAATTATATATTTATTTACATCAGTAATCGCTGGTTTTTAAATGATACCAACCCAATAAATAATGCCACTGTATATACACCAGGAAGACTTTATCAACTCATTGAAATAATATTTTTACCTTAACCTTAGGAAACTGCTGGTTTCTTGCTTCAGTTGGGGCTTTAACATTTCAGAAGGACATCATGGACCAGGTCATGCCAGCTGACCAGTCATTTGCTAAAGATGATGCAGGGATATTTCACTTCAGAGTGAGTTCTTTGGTCTTTTTTAACATAAGTTGATTACATTTTTTTTTAAATCATGTATCAGCCATTAAGCCTTATGTTCTGCAAATTCTTAGTTCTGGCGATTTGGTAAATGGATTGATGTTGTCATTGATGACAAACTGCCAACAATCAAAGGAAAGCTCATTTTTGTTCATTCAAAAACATCTAATGAGTTTTGGCCGGCCTTACTGGAGAAAGCTTATGCCAAGTAGGTGCCAATATGTTGAATATTTTCATTTTCATTGAACATAAATATATGCTTTATAAGATAATTATAAGAGTTTATGACCCTTATTATATGTTTTGTTTGTAACACTTTAGAATTGAATCTCTAATAATCCAACATTATAAGCATGTTTGCAATGCCTCTTACAGGGTGTGCGGCTCCTATGCTGACATGCATGCTGGTTGTGTATCTGAGGCTCTGCTGGACTTCACCGGTGGCATCCATGTGTACTTCAAACTGAAACAAACTTCCACTGATTTGTGGAGCCTGATGGACCGTGCAGCCAAAGCAAAGGCACTTATGGGCTGCAGCACTTCTCGTGGGGTAAGCAGTTCCAGTGACCTCAGTCTGAAACTTTCATACATATGAACTAAATATAAACAACAGTGAGAAACCATGCAGAGCATGTATTATACATACAACCGTATTTTATCTTTGTGTCATTAATGATATAATATGTTTTAATCTATATCTATATATGTATCAGGATACATCTGCAAACACAGTATTACCCAATGGCATCGTTCAAGGTCATGCA